ATCAGCAATATTGGATTGTTATTTCCTTTTCTTGTATTGTCCTCGTTTGGTTGTGGTATTAGGGTAATACTGGCCTTGTAAAATTAATTTGAAAGTGTGCTCTCCTCTTCTATTTTTGGAAGAGTTTGAGAAGAATTGGTGTTAATTCTTTGCTTGTCAAAAACCTCCTGACAAAGAAAAGTCTAGGACCAGTGAATCCATCTGGTCCTAGACTTTTCTTTGTCAGGAGGTTTTTGATTAATCTTTTAATCTCTTTAGTAGTAATTGGTTCATTTATATTTTCTATTTATTTATAATTTAGTCTTGGTAGATTGTATGTTTTTGTAATGTAATCATTTCTTCTGATTTGTACAATTTTGGTATAGAATTGTTCATAATACTCTCTTATGATACTTTGTATTTGTGGTATTAGATGTAATGTTTCCTCTTTCATTTATAATTTTATTTATTTGTCTTTTCTCTCTTTAAAATTTTTTTTTTTCTTTACTGATGTTACAGAGAGAGGAAGGGAGAAGGAGAGAGAGACAGAAACATCAATGAGAGAGAACATTGATTGGCCGCCTCCTGCATGCTCCCCACTGGGGACTGGGCCCACCACCTGGGCATATGCCCTGGCCAGGAATTGAAACGGAGACCCCTTGGTGCATGGGGTCAACACTCAACCACTGAGCCACACTGGCTGGGCAGTATTTTCTTTATTTTTTGGGTAATTTAAGCTAAAGGGTTGTCAATTTTGTTGATCCTAAAAAAAACAAAACCCAACTCTTAGTTTCACTGATATTTTCTATTGTCCTTTTTTTTTTTAATCCTCACCTGAGGACATTATTTTCCATTAATCTTCAGATAGGGTAGGAGGGGGGGAGAGGGAGAGAAACCTTGATGTGAGAGAGAGATATTAATTGGTTGCCTCCTACATGACCCCAACTGGGGCTGGGGACCGAACAGCAACATGTACGTTCCCTTGACTGGAATTGAACCCGCGACTCTTTGGTCTACAGGCTGATGCTCTAACCACTGAGCCAAACTGGCCAGGGCTCTATTGTCTTTTTAATTTGTTTCATTTTTTTCTGCTCTATTCTTTGGTTATTTCCTTTCTTTATTATTAACTTTGGGCTTAGTTTGTCCTTTTTTTCTGGTTCCTTGATGTTAAAGTTAGATTATTTTAAAATTTTCTTTAAAAAAATGTAAACCATGTTTATTTTGATTTTTAAGTAATGTTCTTAAAGCACTACAGCTTGGAAAAAATGTAAATTAGTATAAAATCATCTCTAAAGCAAGTTTTGTTTTTTCAATGAGTTGTTAAAAAGATATAGCCTATTGTAATAGGATAAATATTTTTAATCATTTTACTTCGAGGTAATGAAGGCTTACAAATGACCAACACTCCTTGAGGAAATAAAAAAGCTGTTGTTGATGAATGACAGCACACACACTCACAAACAAAAAGAATTGTGCAAAAATAACTGTGTTCCCATATTTTTTGAAGTCGCTTTACAGTGGAATGATATGCACATGGTTTTGCTGTGAACTTTCCATGTAGATTCGTAATACATGTAGTCTAGACAAACAATTCAGTTCACGTGATGCTAACTTTAGACAATATTTCACTATCATCTTTTTAACAATGCAGTTTGTTTTACTCATTTTTTTTTCTAGACTGAAATACAGACTAAAAAGAAAATGCTCCCTAATTAAAAGTTGGTATTGTTTTATTCATTCATCCACTTTATGCCTTTTAAGAAACTTTTTTAATGTTGACATTATTGCAGGAGTCCCCCTCCCCCCACTCCTTTGCTCACCTCTACCCTCCCCCACCTTTCCTTCCATGTCCATGGGATGTGTATATATGTTCTTTAGCTATTTCCTTCACCTTCTTTATCCAGTCACCTGCCACCCTCCTCCCCTTGGGCACTGGCCAGTCTGTTCCATGTATTCATGCTTCTGGTTCCATTTTATTTATCAGTTTATTTTGTTAATTAGATTCCACATATTAGTGAGATCATATGATATTTGTCTTTCTCTGACTGACTTATTTCACTTAGCATAATACTCTCCAGGTTTTTTGATTGGAGAGCATAGTCCTTTTATGTTTAAAGTAATTATTGATAAGCATGGGCATACTACTGCCACTATTAATTGTTTTTTGGCTGTTTTATAATTACTTTGTTCCTTTTTTCTCTTCCTTTGTAATTTGATAATTTTCTATTGTGGTATGTTTTGATTTCTTTTTTCTCTTTATTATTTGAGTATCTCTTATAGGTTTTTGTTTTGTGGTACCCATCAGGCTTATATAAAACATTACATATCTATAACAGTCCAGTTTAAGCTGATAACAACTTCAAAGGCACACAAAAGCCCTACATTTTTATATATTTTCAATGTCACAGTTATATGTTTTACATTGTGTATCCATTAACAAACTATTGTACTTAACGTTATTTTAATGCTTTTGTGTTTTAATCTTCATATGAGAGTTGTAAGTGATTTACCCATCACCATTACAATGTAAGTATTCTGAATTTAACTATATATTTATTTATTTTTCATTGATTGATTTGAGAGAGAGAGAGAAACATCAGTTTGTTGTTCCATCTATTGATTCATTCATTGCTTGCTTCTTGTATGTACCCTGACTGGGGACTGAATCTGCAACCTTGGCTTATCGGGACAATGCTCTAACAAACTGAGCTACCCGGCCAGGGCTTATATTTATTTTTATTACTAAATTTTATACATTTTTATTGTACTAATTAGCATTTTTTAAATTTTATTTCAGCCTAAAGAATTTCCTTGAGCATTTCTTGTAAGTCTGGTCTACTGGTGATGAACTCCAATGGTTTTTGCTTTTCCAGTAAACTCTTATTTCTCTAAATTCTGAAGGACTGCTTTACCAGGTAGAGTATTTTGGTTGGCAGGTTTTTCTTTCAGAACATTGAATGTCACTCCTTCCTGGCCTGCAGTTTTTGCTGAAAAATCTGCTGATGGTCTTGAGGGTAGAGGTGAGGGTTCCCTATTATGTAATGAGTTGCTTTTCTTTTGCTGCTTTTAAGAGTCTCTTCTTGTTTTTAACTTTTGACAATTTATAATGTGTCTTGGTGTGGGTCTCTTTTAATTAATTGATTTATTATACTATTACTTTTTAATCCTCACCCAAAGAAATGTTTATTGATTTTAGAGAGGGGTTGGGGAGAGAAAGAGACATCACTGTGAGAGAGAAATATCAGTTGCCTTCCATACATGCCCCAACTGGGGATCAAACTAGCAACCTAGGTATGCATCTTGACTGGGAATAGAACCCACAACCTTTGGTGCATGGGATGATACTCCAACAATGGAGCCACCCTGCCAGGGCTTGATTTATTTTATTCAGTACTCTCTGGATCTGGATGTATGTTTCTTTCCTCATTATTTCTTTGAATAGGCTTTCTGCCCCTTTCAGTCTCTCTTCTCCTTCAAGGATCTCTACAATGTGTGTAGTTCTCTTATAATGTACCATAAGTCCCTTAAGCTAGTTTTTCATTTTTTTTTTCTTTTTGTTCCTCTGATTGCATGAATTTCACTGCCCTGTCATTAAGTTTGCGGAATCTTTCTTCTGCTTGATTTAGTCTACTATTGAACCTCTCCATGAAATTTTTTAGTTCAGTTATCATATTCTTTAGCTCTGTAATTTCTGTATGGTACTTTCTTATATTTTTCATGTTTTTTGGGGAATTCTCACTTTTTTCATGCATTGTTTCCTGACTTGGTGATAATTTTTATGACCATTATTTTGAAATCTTTATCAGGTTAATCACCTATCTCCATTTCATTTGAAGTTTTATTTTATTTTATTTTTATTTTGAACATAGTCATATATTTTCATTTGTTTTCTTGGCTGTCTATGTTGGTTTTTGTTCATTAGATAAAATAGCTACCTCTTCCAGTCTTGATGAAATGATTTTGTGAAGGATTTGATCCTTATTGTTCAGTCTGATTCCTAGCTATTAGTTATCTCTCAAACCTTTGTGATTGTCCAAGCTACCTGAGTTCTTCATATATTTTGGATATTATTCCTAATCAGATATATGATTTTCCAATATTTACTCCCATTCAGTAAGTTCACTCTTCTTTTATTTTTCTTTTTTTAAATGATTTCTTTTGTTTTGCAGAAGCTTTTTAGTGTTTGTTTTTGTTGCTTTTGCTTTTGGTGTCAGGTTTAAAAAATTATGGCTAAGACCTATGTCAAAGAAATGATCACTTATGCTTTCTTCTAGAAGTTTTGTTATTTTAGGTAAATTTTTGTGTACGCTATAAAATAGTGGTCAAGTTTTATTCTTTTGCATGTAGCTGCTCAGTTTTTGTAACATATTTTTTTGGATACTGTCCTTTCCCCATTATGTATTCTTGGTCCCTCTGTCATAAATTAGTTGATCATATATATGTGGATTTAATTTTGGAGAGTCACTTATTTTTAATTTGTATTTGCCCTTATAATCTAAATCCTATTCCCTAATCTCACAGTTAAGGAAACCGAGGCCCCGAGAGATGAAAGAGCTTGTCACATAGTTGGTGAACACCAAAGCTTGGACTTGAACTTAGGTCTTCTGACACCCAGACTAATATTCACTTCCAAGATCTCTCTGGAGACAATAAAGGCCTTACACCTGTATCTGAATAAGCAGGATCCTATCTTGCAGCTCACTGCCTGGATACTGTGCATATTAAGGAGGCAGTGTCCTTTGGCAGCATCTGTAGAGCTGGAGTCAACACGACTCATCTCAGTTTGACTCAAACATAAACTACCTAGAATTCTCTCTAGGGCCCTCACTCCCTGCTGCGAGGAGAAGGAGAGTGAGGAGGCAGGTAGTATCCAGCCATGGTGCTTAAGGAAGTTCTTCTGTGTCCCTTTCTTATTTTGGCATGGACAGATGGTGGAAGTTCTGTACTCCTCATCTGCTTCTAGGCCCAGGACAAGCCCCGTGGAAGGCATTGCAGAGGAAGCCAATCTTGAAGGGGTTAGAGGAGAAGATCCTGGTGCTTGGCCCAATGTTGAGACATCTCTAAGGGTCTGTATTATGTTGCTCTAGATACTAAGAATTATTAGATGAATCTAGGATGAACTATTTGTGTCAAATGGTACCCTCAGGTCTTCTTACCTGAGGACTAGTTATTGTGAGAACAGGTATGAAATGGAGTACATCTGCTTGGCTATCGGTTTGCTAAACAAACCAATAACAAAATAACACAGATTTGGTGGCTTAAGCAATGGAAATTTAGTTTTTAACAGTTTTGGAGGCTAGAAATTCAAGATCAAGGTATAAACAGGTTTGGTTTCTTCTGAGGTCGCCCCTGACTTCATATGCCTTTCCCTCTGTGCACAGGCATCCCTAGTAGCTGTTTGTGTCCACATTTCCTCTTCTTGTAAGGCTTCCAGTCAGAGGAATTGGGGCCCTCCCTAATGGCTGTATTTGAGCTTAATCGCCTTTGTAAAGGCCCTAGCTCCAAATACAGTCACATTCTGAGGTGCTGAAGTACAACCTCAATTAAGAATTTTGAAGGGAAAATATTCAGCTCATAGCAGCTATATGAGATTTCCTTCTGTCTTTGTTATGTCTTAGGGATTGCTTATGATGTGCATCACAGTCCGATTTCATGCTTATTCAATACTAAAATGGTTTTCTTTCTCTTCAACCTTTATAGAGAAGTGTTTGGGTTGGGAAGAGATTTTGTTTTAATTATATTTCCCCAACAGTATAAAAAGTACCAAGGTAGGAGCTAAGGGCAAAGATTTGAGGTCTGGCTCATGTGGAAAGGAGCTGCGTGAATTACTTCTTGTTTTCTTTTCTTTTCTTTTTTCTCATCAAAGAATTACTTTTATTTTTATTATCTCTCCACAAAGAAGCTATAAAGATAGCTGTAAATACATCGAAAAGACTTTAAAATCCTGGAATGAAAAATTCTAAAGTATAAACTAGGTACATCTTCTGTGGTTTACAAACAATACAATACTACAAGTTAGAATTTCTAAATGATTTTGATAGAAATTTACTAAGAAGAACCAGAACATCAAACCTTTAAGATTTTCCATTTTCACCCCAATTGAGTTTTTGAAAAGCTGTAATTCATTGGCAGGCACAGTCTACATCGTCACTTGCTGCTGCCACTAATGAAGTTAATTGAAGGACAGAGATTTGTACGCTAGACATGCCAGGATCTCCCATGCAACTGACTGAAGTGCTCATCTCTTATTTTTTCCCTTATGTTTTAAATAGATATAAATATACATATCGTAAAAATGTAAATGGTACAGATAGAGAAAAAATAATAAGCAGTTGTATGAACAATTTACAAACTGCAGTCGGCCTTGGAGTTTCTTTATCTGAAAATAATTCTCAGCCTCTGGAACATGTTGATTTTCTCATATATCACCTCTGCCGCAGAGGAAAGCCATGCTCTGCCTCTTAAAAAACAACACAACCAAATACAAAACAACACGCACACCCGACTCAGAGACATCAAGTCCAAGCAGCACCTCAGGCTCCATGGGTCTGGTCCCCGCTCCAGAGAGAGTCACTGATATCATCCAGGGACAGGTGGCATCTCAGCTGAGCCCTTCCTGGATGCCTGGGATCCATCTGGCCAGCTGCACATCCTTGGGAAAGAGATTTACAGGGCCAGCATGTGGGGAGAGGAGACAGATGTCCTCAAAGAGATACCTGCTTCTGCTGCCTCTTGTAGAGTTGACAGGGTCCCAGGCACGAGTGAATTTAACACCCATTTCTCTTGCCAGGCGGCTGAAGAAGTTCTTCCTTAACTACAGGTGTGTGCTCTTTGAAGACTTCAGATGTTCTTCAGAACCAGATGTCCCTGGTGACCAGATCAACCAAAGGAAGTAACTGAGCAAAAGTATTGAGTAATACAGGTGAGGTGCCCTGGTGGTGCCTCACACCGTCAAATTGCTCGACCCTAATAGGATACACAAAAACAGGGATTTTTGTCTATTTTATTCACTGCAGTTATCTTCAGCAACTAAGGAGACTCCCCTACTGGCGGGTGTCGGGGGCTGGGCTCCCGGTGAGCCTCCGTGGGGTTTCTGGCTTGTGGCTCCGGGGTGTGGGTCCATGGTGGATGTGGAGGGCCTAGGCTCTGTGGTTCCTTCTCGCCCTTAAGAGTTCAGGGGTAAAGACTGGCATCTGGGGGAGGTGTAGGAGGATGCAGCCTTGGGTTCAAATGGCTCTCTGAGTCACTTCATCTTTGGGGCCTTGATTTCCCAGTCTTGGGCAAGTGAAAGATTGTTCTTGGTCGGGATTCAGTGATTTCTTCAAAATTCTACATCCTTGAGAGCTTGTTTGGAGGTTCTAGCAGGGGAGCACAGCTACTCCTATACCCTTGACCTAAGACCGGTCTTCTTCTCTGGGGGGAAGGTCGTCCTCTTCCACCCAGCACGCAGCTTGGGGAGCGACAGATCGGTGAGGGAAGAGGGGACACCCGCCTATCCAGCCAGATCAGCTGAATCAACCCTGGTGATCAATGGGGTGACAGATGTCGCAGCCAGATCACCCTCACATCTCACCATTCTACGTCCTATGGAAATTAAAGCTCTCAATTCTTTCTTTTCTTCTTTAAATGAACATGCACTGGCGATAGTGGATTGGGGAGAATGGAGGGATGAGAAAGGCAGAGTGAGAGCAGCTTACAGGAGTACATCCTCCAAAAGACAGAGGCTCCAGTGGCCCCAGACCCCTGCTGACATAGCTGCACAAACAAGTCCTTTCATCGGCATTCCCCAAGGGACTGTAAGACACAGCAAGCCACCCTGGGCCTGAGGACCCACTGGCTGTGAGGTGGCAACAGGCTGATCTCTAAACCGATTTACCAATTTCTCACTTTTTTTTTTTGACAGAGCACAAAGGGAAGCACCGTTTTTGTTCTAAGTAGTTCTATTCTTCTTCTTTTAAAATTATTTATTTATTTTTTAATCCTCACCCGAGGGTATATTTTTATAGATTTTTTTTTTTTTTTTTTTTTTTAGAGAGAGAAGAAGGCACAGATAGAAGCATCGATGTGAGAAACCTCAATAAGTTGCCTCCTGTAAAGCCCCAACCCAGGATCAAACCCACAACCTTCATATGTGCCCTGATCTGGAACCAAACCCACAATCTTTTGTTGTATGGGATGATGCTCCAACCTTCTAAACCACTGGGCCAGGACTATTCTTCCTCTTTTAGTCTCCCCACTGGGTTAAATGTTCATTTGTGCCTCTTTCCTCTAGTGCTACATCGTTCATGGGCGACATAAAGAAGGGTATGCTGCTAAGAAGCTGTACTGCATGATGGTAGCTAACACTTGCGGTCTGGAGCCAGACCGCCAGTGTTCAAAAAGACACTCTGACCCTGTGGTTGTGTGACACTGGCAAATTACTATTCCTTTCTGAGCTTGCTTCCTCATTTAAGAAAATGAGGATGCTAGGACTTGCCTTACGGTGTTATTATGACAAAAAGAGTTAATTTATGTAACACTTAGAACAGTGCTTGGCACATAATAAGTGTATAAAAATATCTATAATTCACTAAGAAAAAGATATATAATCAGGATAGATAATTTATAGATAAGGAAATATAAGTGAATATTCATTATATAAAAAAATTATCAGCCTCACTCATAAGATATAATTTTTACCTACCAGACCGGCAAAGATGAAAATGTTTGAGAAGCCATTGCATTGGTGAGGGTCAGGGAAATGAACCACTTTCATATATTGCTAATAGAAATGTTAACCAGAGAGCAATTTAGCAATAATTATAAAAAGTAAAAATGTACATATCATCTTTTCATGAAATCCCACTTCTTGGACTTTATTTTATAACCTATACAGTGATCCATATAGCAGAATATTTAATAAAGCTTTTTTTTTTTTTTTTTTGGTAAAGGTAAAATGGTGAAAAAGAAATAACTCTGTCTCTACTGATCTGGAATGATGTCCAAGATAAATTTCTAAGTGGGGAAAAAATAGGACCAGAATTGTGCGTGTAGTATAATATCACTTATGTAAATATAAACAAGCTTTTGTGTGTAGAATATATATTTTTAAGACAATATATTCTTTTTAAGGATACACAAGAAATTGGTAGTGACCTCTAGAGGGGTTAAATGGGGGTGGCTAGGGGACAGGTAGATTTGCTTTAGAACTTTTTCTTTTTACTATGTGCATGTATTTACTAGTTAAAAAAATAAGTACAAAAGGTAAAGAAAAGCTATTTGTAAAAAGTAATTTTGTATATTAACTTTATGTAGATTTGTCATTGAACAATGATTCTTTTGTAATAATGCAAATTTACTTATTTGTTTATTGATCGATTGGTTGATTTTTAGAGAAAGAGTGGAAGAGAGAGAGAATATCTATTTGTTGTTCCACTTAGTTATGCATTCATTGGTTGTTTCTTTTTTTTTTTTTTATCCTCACCTGAGGACACTTTTTCATTCTTTGTCCAGATAGAGCAGGAGGGAGAGAGAGAGAGAGAGAAACATCGACGTGAAAGGGACACATCGAGTGGCTGCCACCCGCACGACCAACCAGGGCCGGGGACAAACTGCAACTGAGGTACATGCCCCTAGCGGGAACCGAACCCGGGTCTCTCCAGACCGCAGGCCGACGCTCTAACCGCTGAGCCAAACTGGCCAGAGTGATTGGTTGTTTCTTGTATGTGCCCTGACTGGATATTGAACCCACAACCTTGGTGTATGGGGATGACACTCTAACCAACTGAACCTGACCAGGGCGGAAGACAATTTGACTTACTTGTTTCCGGTGTTTTCACAAAATTCAGCAACTTGAATTCCTGGAACCGAATGCAAACACAATCAGTTAGGTCAATTAAGTTAATTAAAATAAACCTGTAATTTTTCAGTAAAAGGCTACTCATTGTTCCAGCTTTCTGATCTTTAAACTGACAGCAAGTGTGCTCACCTGCTTGACACGGTTGCTAGAGGAACATCTGATGAGAGTTTCAAGAGTAATTCTTAAAAGTGATGGAACTGCAGAGGGGGTCTGCTATAATTTGAGGCTGGCAGGCCAAAGCCAGTCAGGTGTCCTCCCTCTGGCTCATCACTTCCAGAAGCATGTGGGCATCTATGTACCCTATGGGATTGGCTTTATAGAGCCACTCAATCTGCTTTTTCACCTGTGCTTTGAATGAACAACCCTGCCTTGGTCCCTGGGAGATTGATTTGGAGCATTGCCATCTTCCTGCCACCAAGCCCACCCTCAGTCATCTTTGACTTCTTCCTCTGCCCTCAACCCATGTCCAATCTATTGCCAACTTTTGCTGCTTTTGTCATCCTGATGTCTCTCTCACCTGCTACTGAATCTCTACTCATACTGCCCCTAGTAGCAGTTGGGATTTCACTGCCCTCTCCTTGGATCATCCTCCCGCTTCTTTCAATTTTCAACACTCAGATTAAATGTGGCCTCTGTTAAACCTGAGCTGAAACTTCTCCTTGAGTGTTACTCTATTTTCTAGGCTATACTTTATACTTATATTTTGTACCCAAGATTTCATGCACACCCTTTGTAATATTTGGAATAGTACAATGTGCCATCAATTTTTGTTGTTGTTAATCCTCACCCAAGGATATTTTTCCATTGATTTCTAGAGTGGAAGGGAGGGAGAAAGAGTGTGAGAGAAAGAGAAATATGGGTGTGAGAGAGACACATGGATTGGTTGCCTCCCACACGACGCCAACCATGCTGGAGAACCTTCAACCCAGGTACGTGCCCCTGACCAGGAATCGAACCTGAGACCCTTTGTTCTGCGTGCCGATGCTCTAACTGCGGAGCCAAACTGTCCAGGGCTGTGCAATCAACTTAATGTCTGTGTCCTACTACCCCAGTTCATATGTTGGAGTCCTCAGCCTCAATGTGCTGGTATTAGGAGGGGCTTTTGGGAGGTAATTATTTCGTAAGTGTGGCACCCTCACTGGATTCTGACTGCTGGCTTGCTGATCTTGGACTTTCAGCCCCCAGAACTGTGGGAAGTCAATTTCTGTTGTTTATAAAACACTCATTCTATGCTAATTTGTTATAGCTAGAACTTACTAAGACAATGTAATTACTTGTTTTTCATGTTTGTTGTTCTCACTAGGCTGGAAGGGCCTCCAGGAAGAGTCAAGTTCCCTACCCCCTTTCTAAACTGTCATTGATTAACTTCTGAGTGCCAAGTCCTGTATGAGAATTGTACCTGTTACCTCATTGTATCGCTGCCTCAGCAATCCCTGGACATAGATAGTGTGAGATCCACTGTGTAGGAGCGGATTCCAGGAGCAGAGTTTCCGGGATCCCCTGAGCTGTGATTGGAACCTTTCCTCTTCCTATTCTGGGGTACGGTCCAGCTCCATAGCCAGACACGTGCCATATAAAATGCTGACTTACACACTAATACTACTGGATGTAAGCCTCAGTGTGGCACCTCCTCTTCCAGGGATGCTTCTGTAACCTACTGCTGCCTCTTTGTTGCACATGAACCTGATCAGACTTCTGTTAACATACGTGTTACGCTACCTTGGGCTCTCTCAACACACCTGTCCATTTTCCACGCCTGCTGGGTGGGCTTGTTTTCTGGCGAGAGCGAGCAGAGCACTAGTGGGCGGCTGGCCTGCCTGCCGGCCGGCGCTACCAAGAACACTCGCCGAGCACCCAGGGCCGAGGCAGTTAATTTGTCCCAGTGGTGAGGAGGAAATTTCTTGTAAAAGCGAGCTCCCCTCAGAACAATGTGGCCTTTTATTTTTTAGCTTTGGAATGGAGCCTAGCTGTCCATGGAAACAAAGAGAGGAGAGAATCACTGAACCGGTCTCACATAAAAAACTGACCATGTCTGTCTTTGAAGTCTCCTTTATGTTGTTTAGAAAACTTTGGATTATAGGGGTGTTTTTCCCTCCTTTTCTTCCTCAGTTCCTCACCCCACCCCAATTTTTTTTTTTTTAAATTTCAGAGAAAAGCGAGAACTGGGTGTTAGGGAACCTTTCTTTGAAACAGGGCAGAAGTCATTAATTAAGGCTCCCATTCATTCCTTCTGACACTTGCTCATCAATCAGATTTCCTCTTAGCATTCTGATGACCCTGCTGACCTGGAGTCCTCCATACTGTCTGCCAGACAGAATTGAAACTCAGACCACACACCAGAAAAGAGGGAGTGGGGTCTGGCTCCTGGCTTCCTGAGATTGAAGAGAAAGAGTCCGGGGACAAAGCTGGCTGGTGGGGAGCTCTTCTGAGTTGAAGTGAAGGTGAATAAAGAAGATATTTTCTTCGCGGAAGCAAGTGTTGCTCACTTTGCTGGAACAGTAATCTACAGTTGCCCTTCTCCTTCTCCCCAAACCCAAGTCCAGCCAGCTGGGCCCGGGGAATGTAGCTAGCAGTTTCTGTCTGCCAACTCGGCACTGGGAAAAGAAATGAACAGCTCTAAGCCTTCCTCAGAAAAGTACAGGGAGGTGTTCTGGAGATGACAGTGGCGTTTTGGGCCTGCGCTGTGGGATCTTTATTTCATCACTCACTACTCATTTATTCATGTATCCATTCAGCTGCTGTTTACCTGGCACCCAAAGGCAGTAGGCATCGTGCTTGGAACTGAAGACAGAACTGTGACTGAGGCAGGCAATCTCTACCCCTCGTGGAGCTTAGAGTCCAGTTGGGAATGTACCTGGGACTTTTCTTCAAGAAAAATTGGGTCTTTAGGAGGACCCACTGCGGTCACGTGCAATGAAAATTCAACGACTATTTATTGGTTTCCTTCTATGTACTAGGTGAATTTTGGGGAAGATTGGAGCAATTAAAAAAATATGAGCCCTGGCCGGTTTGGCTCAGCGGCTGGAGCATCAGCCCAAGGACCAGAGTCCTGGGTTTGGTTCCTGTTAAGGGCACGTACCGCGGTTGCAGTTTTCCCCCGGCACCAGTTGGGGTTGTGTAGGTGGCAGCCACTCGATGTGTCTCTCTCACATCGATGTTGCTCTCTCTCTCTCTCTTCCTCCCTCTCTCCCTCCTGCTCTATCTGAAGATAAGTGCAAAAAATGTCCTCGGGTGAGGATTAAAAAAATATATAAAATGTAGATGTTAAATATGCATCCCTATTACAGGTATACTAATTTCTAGATGTTTTGTTTTAGGAACTTTGGTAAGCAAGATTATACTTCTCTTTACTTAATACTATGAGAGTGAGTCAATTGAACTACTTGAAAGTGTGCCATTAGCGCTATGTTACACAGAAACGAAGGGCACAGAAAGTTTGAGGTACATATTGAATCAGAGTCACTAAGCTGGTAAGAGGCAGGCAGCACTGGACCCCAGCCTATCGACCTGTAAAGCCTTGTGCTGTACCTTGTGTGGGGATCTAATGAAGCTGTCGCCCCAGGCAGTGCTGAAGTCACTGACTCCAGTCAGGCTGGGTAAACAGAGTCATACACAGAAGGAGCAGAAACAAGATGGTAAAATGATTAACACACTCAGAACCAGATCATCTCCAGAAAGCCTTTAGATACTCTTAATAATTACATACATATATAGTGCTTTATAGTTCAAAAAGCTCATCCCATATCTTAGTTGACCTTCACCAAAACCCCAAAGCCGGTGTTCATACTATCCTCCTTCTACAGATGAAGGAACCAGGTTTTAGAAGAATCAAGTAAGTTTCAGAAGGCATACATACCATTGTGGGGTGGAATGGAGACCCTCAGCCAGCTTTTCTTTCTCAGAGAGACACACATGGAAGACTCGGCCTTCCTATGTAGTTCTAGGACAGGAAAGGAGTGGCGAAACATTCTGTTACATTCCTGTCCTCTTCCCCACAAGCGGGTCACAGGCACCTTGGCTCTCATTCACGTCCTCTTGTCCTCCGACTGGTGGTTGATTTTTTTGAGTCTGGCTGTGTTCAGGACAAGTGGAGTCTGAATTTTTTGACACGTGTTAAATAGCAGTGGTGTATTTTTCTCTCTCTAGTGTGAGGGTTGGCAGCCACTGTAGCTGGG